TGAAGTGGCAGAGGCAGGGGATCACACAGTACATGGGTGAAACACTTTAAAACACAGTTCCCCATGAGTTTAAAGCAGGGGTGGGCAAAATGTGGCCCGGGGACTGGATGCAGCCTGCCAGGCCATTCTATCCAGCCTGCGGGGCCCCTAAAAAATTTAGAAAATTAATGTTTATCTGCCCTGGGCTGCTTGTCATGCAGCCCTCAATGGCTTGCCAGAACTCAGTAAGCGGCCCTCTGCCCAAAATAATTGCCTGCCCCTGGTTTAAAGCCTGCCAGCCTGGTTTGCTAAGCTGAAAGAAAGATAAATTTATTGAAGTCGTTTAGGAACAATATAGTTGAAAAAATAATATACTGCAGAAAGGACAAGGCGACAAAAATGGAGCACCAATTAGCTCATTTTGTCAAGGTTCAAAGGCCACATTGTTATTTGAGTTGATGCATTAGACTATATCAGTTATGATATATTCTCTCACATCAAGAATACAATTATTTACACTTCTGTAAACTGCCAAAGGTTTTACATTGCCTTTATGAAATCTTATTCCCTTCCTAATAAAACTGATAACTACAACTGAATCCTAAGAGCTAACCCATGCCTTGAAGGCAGAGACTGCTGTTGAGTATTCTGCAGAATAAATACAGCCTCTCAGAGATGTTCCTTCATGTGTAGGAACTGCAATTATGAGTGACCCTGATGCATACCCCCTCTTGCATTCCTGCATTAACAACAGCCACAACCTAGCCCTAAGGTGAATCTATATTAAATGGCATCCAATCCGCACCTCATTTTACATAACTTAGCCCCTTTTACCTACCGAGGGAATGTCTTAGTCTTGCTAATAAATCTCACATAACCTCATACAGGTTAGAGAAAGAAAATCTCTAAGTGGGCACAGTGATGTTCTTTGCCTGCACCAAACACCTGACATTCCTTGAATATTGGCAACCTACTGACAGGCAGTTTGGAAAGGTCAGCAGCCCCAGAGGCTGTACATTCTGGAGTGGAAATGTAAGAATTAAGGCATTCCTTTTCCTCTTATCTGAAGTTATCTGCCTAAGAAAACAAAATCCAGTTACTCGGGTAGTTTGCTTCTGGCCCTGCTTTGCACACAAACCTTGTAATTCACAGATGTATTTTTTAAGTTGTTACATTAATAACTATTGTTTAGGCTTTTATAGATGACAGTAAAAATAAAATAAATTAAAACTATTTCAATCACAGAATAAATTATTTAACCAAACCAAACCCCCCAGGGTCATTAAGTTTCAAGATAATACGGCAATTTTTCCTTCTGAAGCCTCTTGTCCTATTGGGTATCACTTCCACAAGTAGTCTCATTAGAGCCAATGGGCACCTGTACACACCACGGGTTTTAATCCTCATTAAATTAAATAGGTTTATAAAATTTAAACTTGTTTATTTTGGAGCATCACATCTGTGTTTACACAGACTAGGTTTTCAAATTAATTAAGTCTTGGAGCATTGCATCTGTGTTTAGACACACTAGGTTTTTACATGAATTAAGCAGGATCCCTGGCTGGCACCACAGGAAAGCGAGACAGTCCAGTGTTGCCCCCCCCAGCCTAGGGCCCCCCATCCATCCTGTGCCTGTGCCCTGCCACACAGCTGTGGAAGCAGAGAGCTAGCAAACCACACAAGAGATAAAAAAGCAGAAGCAATAGAAAACAAAAGCAACCCAAAGGGGTGAACTATAAAAAAGTTGCAGTGCGATATTGTGGACAAAGAGGCTTATTAGTGTCTTTCAGTGCCTCTGTATTTGCATGCAACAAATCCATGGACACAATGCTTTAATTCCCAGCGATCCAAACTAAACTACATCCAAGGAGTTTTAGTTGAATGCACGAGAAAGACTTGAAAACCCGGAAAACCCACTTGTGCAAACAGTCATGCAGTTGCAGTGCAAGAAAGGGCAAAGAATGTGGTGTGTAAAAAGGCCCAATAGGATCATTCATTTATATAAGCAGAGATCAATTTCAGCAAGGGGTTGCAGCTTCAGACCCCCACATTTACCTCATAATATTTTGTAACTAACACACATTCATCCATACAAAGAGACAGAGAGAATCTCTACTGTTTATCACCCCAAAATACATCTAAAGTAAACTACTTGGGTACAAACGAGGACAGAATTTAGCTCATGTAAATTGATTACTGTGAAGCACCCATTCCAAGATATCTCCCTGCTTAATTATCATCCCAATAGCTTTCTGGCAATTAAGAATGTAGCAACACAGTGCCTAACAGGATTTATAATAAAGCCCTTGATAATTACTCCTCTCAACTCAATCTGCTCTGATAGCAGCAGAGGTGGTAAAACAGAATTAAGGATTCATGAAAAAAAATTAGCGATGCATATAAATACAATCTGTATAAATGTTTTAACTTATATTTGCCAATTCCTGGATACTGTTTTGATTTCACCCCAATCCGCTTCATTTACTTAGTAAGATGCATTTCACATCCTCAAATCAATTTTGTCAGTATTCTTCACATTCATTAAAATAATCACTGAACTGTGATGACACTAGATAGAATTAAACAGGATTGTCAATATCTGTCAAATTACTCCCTGGCTTTGTTTGTATCCACATATGTTTTAGATGTTTCACATGCATTATATGCATCTAAAATGTTAATTTAAAAACAATTTTTAAAAAGAATTTTAAAATAACTTTCCCCCCCTACATTTACTATGAACAGTACAGATTTTTATGCTATTGCTATTTTGAATAAAAACAGAAATCTAATGCCGACAAACAGCAATAACTGAAATGTACACATAAAGAATTTGGTCTGTTCTCTCTCGGTTTCAGATTTACCTGCATTTATCCTTGGCACTTACGTAATTAAAGAGACTTTAGAGACAGAATCAAGCTAGTTTTCAGAGCAATGGTTCTCAAACTTTTTTAACTAGAGCTCTTAATTTTCACTTGTTTTTAACTATGGAAAAAATAAAGGAGCAATTCTTCTGTTGCAAAGAGCTCAGAAAAACCACAACAGGTTATAATGTTTTTCACACTATGGATTCCTATTTGATATCTCTGGGTACATGCAGACATTACATTTAAGCTGACATAACTAGGGTCAGGTCAATCTAAAGTCATTTTGGGAGGCTGGATTGGGTAAAAAAAATGGGCAACCCAATCTAAATTAGTTCATTTGAGGAAGTGAACCAAGTTAGATCAGGAATGGGTTGACCAAATGTCTGCACAAACATGTTCAGAGCACAGCCCCAGAGCTGGGAAAGCTCAGCCTCTTGTTCCACCCCTGAGGCAACACTCTTCCTACCTGCTCCACACCCTGACCAGGCTATTTTTGACCCCCTAACCACCCCCCCGCCCATCCCCAGATGAACAAGGCCTCCACAGACCCACCAACCCCTCTCCACCCAACCCCTGAAGTCATCGCTCACACTATCAAACACCACAATGGCTTCAGTTGGCCCTGCACAAATAATTCACTGCAGAACAAACATCTTTGTATGTGAAGTTATCCACATGTATCAGAACTTGCAAGAGTTGGACAGTCCTGCATTATTAACAACATAGGTAAGGCCTGTTCTTAAATATACAAGACCAAATTATTTCCAATACCTTATTTTTATCTTTTTATTTTATTTTCACATAATCACAGTATTTTCCGATTACAGATTATAAAGTAGCAAGTACCTGGCAGCTGAAACAGCAATTTACGCTAAAATAAATGGCTTTAAAGGATTCCTTTCAAATTTCTGTTCTTCTTACTTCTGTTTCAAAGCTGATAAGCCACAAAACTAAAATCCTACAACAAATAACTAGCCTGTGCAGTTTGTGCTTGCAATTGTGTGTGGTTACCTGCAGATTCCAGCTACTGTATGACCTCCTGCACAAGTGAATAAGGACAACAAGAAGTCCTTTTTTAAATACATAGGGAGTAGAAAGAAGGCCCCAGGAAATGTGGGGCCCTTGCAGGACAAGACGGGGAATCTGGTTGTCACGCCAGACGACAAAGCCAA